CTCATCACGAATCTCTGTGTTGTGATGACCGGACATGAAAATCGAACGGACTGAAGCAGGTTTCACAAAACACAAGGGATTGATTGCTTTCACAGGTGCCATTGTTATGGTTGTCGTTGTTCTTCGACGTTGTTTTCTCGTTGTAGTAGTAGTACTAGCTGTTGTTGTTGTTCTGGTTGTTGTTCTAGTGGGAGGCGGGGGTGGGGGTGGCCGTAGTGTTTTTCTTATTGCTTCTTTTGCTATTGGGACTACCACCGTTATTGGAATCTCTTCCTCCGATGACACATCTCCGAAATCTTCTATTTCTACATACACATATCAGACAAAATACTAATATATCCAAATATCCTATTCTTACTGTCCATGTCCGTTAGAATACACAATTTCAACCTCATATTTCTTGATCTACCATCCATAAATCGAATTTTGACGAAGATTTCTCCAAGTTCATATATTTTAGTCTTTAATCCTTCCATGAACTGTCTCGTACATGCTTTGTCCGAAAGAGTACATTGATTCGTAAGTGAAGCAAGAATATTCAGCTGAAGAATATTTCCGAGTAATCCATTTGGGCACATTTCCCTAAGCAAATTACAAAATACCAATCAAGAGCATCCATCTGAAGAAAACTCACCTGCGATACCGACGCGAGAGTAAGACATTCCAGAAGAATCCATTAACAACGCGAATCTTATATTCAGATAGTTTTAGATTTATCTACACAGAAATACAGAACAATGAAAAGACACTCATCTGTCACTTCATTTACTTGACCGGCCATATCATCAACATCGGTTATATTTTCAGTTTGATTGGCGCCTGCGATGAAATAACTGGTGGTGAACATTGCTTTCAGTGCAATCTCTGGTGTTTCTATACAATGCATTAGGAAGTTTGAGTATTAACATGTCTCGTTGTCAACAGACTTTTTTCCTCGATGACTGCTACAGCAGCTGACCTTCGAAGATGTGGCAACAGTCTCCATGCGATGAAGATAATCAACAGTGCAAATAGAATAGCAAGCAAACAGCAAACGCCGATCCAAATGAGGTAGCATCTGCGTCTAATGGCATCGGAATGAGAGAGAAACGTGAATGGAAAGGCACTGGGAAGATTGTACTTACGATCGATTTGGTTCGAATCGTCTATTGCGAGTTACTGACAAGACATTTTCATTGCTGGTGTCCTCAATAACTTCAGTTCTTGCTTCCTAAAGATATACCACATAAAACAGGTAAAGCAGATGTCACAATAAAATAACATACTTTGCCATGTTTTCGGTCTACTTGTACACGGGTCTCCTTGACAACATACGGAGTTTCTTGTTCAACTATTCTTTCTGTTACTCTTACACCTGTCACTTTCGTACTACCACTACATTGCAATGCCTCCTGACCACTGCTCGACTGTATGACGGTTCTCGCTGCCGAAGCTTCTTCGCTACTACTAGACTGAAGTGCTTGCTGGCCACTACTTGATTGTTTCACTGTTCTTTCTGCTATCGTGACACCTGTAGCTTGCCCGCTTTGACTTGCTTGAACTGATCGTTGAGCACTGCTTGAGTGTGTCACCGTTCTTGCTTTCGAAGCTGCTGCGCCACTACTAGACTGGAGCGCTTGCTGACCACTGCTTGATTGTTTAACTGTTCTTTCTGCTATTGTGACACCTGTAGCTTGCCCGCTTTGACTTGTTTGAAGTGATCGTTGAGCACTGCTTGAGTGTGTCACCGTTCTTGCTTTCGAAGCTGCTTCGCTACTGCTTGATTGTTTCACTGTTCTTTCTGCTATCGCCAAACCACCAGCTCCTCCGGCACTACTATGTGTTTCACTTGTTATCAGAAACTTTCCAGACTTAATGTTTCCACTGCATTCGTTCAATTGGTGGCTAACTGCTTTGCCCGATGTAGCAGTTGCTAAAATTACCTGTTCAGCGCTTCCATGACTACCACCTGTTCTCAATTGATGATCAGCTGTTGTCACGATTGTCATCGTTCGCAGTGTAATTCCACTTGCTAATATATATTTAAAAAAAGTTGTTTTAGAATCTAGATGATTCCCTGTCAAATCGCATCTCCCATAATGTGTTCGACACCGAACAATATTTTATTATCTTGAATTCTACTACGAATATCCGAACCCAGTCGCTGAATAAACTCACCACTTTCTTTTCTCTGAGAGTTCTGTAAGTTCGAATTAGTATTTACCTGTCATCCAAGCCGCAAAACATGCGGCACCATTGTTGCTCACTTCATGGACACCCTTCATAGTGATCACTTGACCCGATGATGACAAAATGATCAGACATGGAATGCCAGTCACACCATATTTACTGCGCAACAATTGTTCTCGAGCACGATCTGAACATATCAAAGAGTAATTATCATTCTATTTGTTCTTCCACAAAGAACTACTGCATTACCTGAATATGGTAAAGCTAACCATGGCATTTCATTGAAATAGCTATTAAATTCGTTTTCATCCCGATCCCAGGAGATAAACACAATTTCAAAGTGTTTTCTCATTTCTTCAGACAAGCTGTTGTAGAACTCGACCAACTTAGGTGTAAACTGTCGTGAAGGTGGACACCAATGGCCCCTAGTGAATAGTGAAATAATGTTACAATTCATATGATGAATAAGTGAAAGCGTACGAAAAATAAAGTCCAATGGTTTTTCCAGCAATTTCTTCAACTGAGACGTAGACGGTACTCTTGGTACAGCCATGAAATTCATGACGTAACAGATTATTACCAAATAATTCGACGAATACAGATGATGATCCTCGACTCGTATGCGTCTCACTACTGTATTCATATGACCGATGGTTGCTTGAGCCACTGCTTGCTGCCTGTGTCATCAATATCTGACGACCACGCATATCATCATGATGTTGATGTAATTCATCACTGTACTCGATTGTTGTGATGATAATTTGACTCGCTATAAATCATAGTAAACAATCTCTCATAGGACGATTGGGAAATAAATCTTAAAAAGCACTTCTGCTGGAATGTAATGAAAACAATGTACAGTATTGCTCAAGTAAAAATTTAAAGGTGAGTACGACACAATGTAGGCTCAAGTATAGTAGAATATGAAACAAATCAAGAAAGTCAATAATATATCTTTCGCAAAATTTCTAAGTTATCGACATTGTTTCCTTCGACTTTTTTCAAGGCCAATATTTCTCTTTCAGTGCTTGAATATTTAATCAAGCTCATTAGCTCATGTATTCGATTAGATCGTAATCTGATCGGTATCATATTTGAATGTTTCTATGTACTCTATTTTATACAAGGAGAGATACTCATATTTGTCAGCAAATATTAACGAACGTCTAGCGTAGAATACGATTTCATTTATGTCTATTTGGTAATCGCATATTTTCGTCAAAAACAAAACTCAATATTATTCTTCGTCGGCAAGTATCGAGTGAAACCAAAACCGCACAAACCACATAGAAATTCAAATCACGAATCAATCGTAGTATCGATAGTGTCTTCGATCAACATTTCTAGGTCATGTCAATACATATTTCATTCGTGTGAAAAGAATCCCTATGACTATTATATCGATTCGATGAAATATTTACCTGATGCCCATCTGAGAAAACATTCGTAACCACCGCTGCTCACTTCTTCCACGCCTTCCGTAGTGATCACTTGACCCGATGATGACAGAACGATTAAACATGGGATCCCCTCTACGTCGTATTTAGTTCCCAACGTGTCCTTTCGAGCTCGATCTGAACATATCAAAGAGTAATTATCATTCTATTTGTTCTTCTACAAAGAACTACTGCATTACCTGAATATGGTAAAGCTAACCATGGCATTTCATTGAAATAGCTGTTAAATTCGTTTTCATCCCGATCCCAGGAGATAAACACAATTTCAAAGTGTTTTCTCATTTCTTCAGACATGTTGTTGTAGAACTCGACCAACTTAGGTGTAAACTGTCGTGAAGGTGGACACCAATGACCGCTAGAAGTGCAGGATATAAAATAGACGAGAATAGATCGAAAGAATGGAACTTACGAGAAGTAGAGACCGATGATTTTGCCTTGAAGTTGTCTTGTTAATATATAATCGGTACTGTGACAAAGCAATTGATCACCAAGCAAATCAGTTAATTTAGAAGTAACGGTCACAGTGTATTCTTCGTTCGTGTCAGAATCGTCATCGTCTGATTCAGCGTGAACCCATTCACCAGATGATGATGTGATCGCCATAATTTCGTGTCCTTCAAGACCAAAATCTTGCTGATGAAATTCTTCATCACCACCTTCAACAGTCGTCGTCGTTGTTGTTGTTGTCCAAGTTGTCACAGTTTGTTGACCACCCGTTTCGACAACGTACTGTTGTACATCACCTTCAGCACTTTCATCAGATGCTGTCACTACTTTTACAGTCCGATTGACGAACATAAGAAAACAGGAGCAAATATAAATCTAAGGTATGAATGAGCAGAGTATTTATGCGTGTGAGAAGTGGTAGACTGTTTTATAAATCATAAAATCCTTTGTGCTATATTAAATTTACTATTTGATTCTCATATTTCCAAGTTTTGTGGGAGAAATATGATCATTTGAGAGGAAAATATGAAGTAAAAGAACCTTGACGATTAACTTTCACTGTAAAGGTAAGGACAAATATATGTATAAGATGGAGTGTAAATCACACGTCTGCGGACAGATGATAAAGGAAAGAAAATAAAATAAGAGAGAATCGCATTCCTTCCTTTTTAAATATCTACATCAATTGCATATGATTGTGCTTTCTTCCTCTCGGGTATGTATGTGTGTAACATGAGCTCCAGGGAATACATGTTGTGTCAATTGCTGCCTACGATAGATACACATATTACTTTGAGTGTTTTCAGAGGATATAGACATTCGTCTGGGTAATTCACCAGCAAATAAGGTTTACTCCCCAGCGAATCAAATTTCACTGTTCAAATAACGATTATAATTTTAGAGGCTTTTTTTTTGCAAAACAAGTATGTTGAGGATGAGCGAAATATGAACAAATTATGTGTAGAGTCGATAAAACTCTCGTCAAATGCTTGTAGAAATTACTGTAACTTCGATGAATTCATTCTGAAAAATCTCGAATCACATGATTTTCTTTCATTTACGTTATTTATTTTTCAACGACATATTTTTCACGTCCATGAATAGAATAACCACTAGATGCAGTTTTAGTATGTGCTTTATTAATCAGCACAATTGTGTCATCAAATCGGTGTACTTCGGTTGCCAAGAAGCGTCGCATGCGAATATAATCGACTGTTGTATTTCAACAGCATGTTCGTTAGAGAATATCCATTTACATTTCGACCGATCATTAGCTTTCAATTGGCCCACAACGACGATATGAGAGCATTATCTGGCTCCGTAGCAGGAAACCTTTGCAATAGACAAGCAAATAAAGTAGAGATGAAATTTTGAGGGACAATACTGTCAGTTACAGTTTCATTAGTTAATGATCAGAGTGATTGTTGACGTAATCGAAAATATATTATGCTGTAAGAACGAAAGTCATTGGTTTGAAGTCATCATGCATGTATTTAACACATAAATATCGAAATCCATTGAGCGGTAATGAAGCTCTATATGATATGGCGTCGATATACTCGAGCACTAATGTTGAAGGTGTTCATACGTGAACTACGTTGGGTGATAGTTCGTTTCATTTTTCGTTTGTTCGATAAGATTAATGTAGAGAACAAGCGTCATTGTAGATGAGTTCACATGTGAGAGTCTTTATTGTACCTGCTGGATACTGAAAAGGATTTCAATGTACATAGATACTGTTCTATTCAGTTAAACCAAGCTAGTTTTGAAACTGGCATAATATCAAATTGAATTCCTCAGTTGGCAGATTGTAAAACATTGCCGAGTACTCGAATGTGACTCGAGTAAGTATTCATAGTAGATGCTTGATGGATTGAAAATTTTAATGATTTCTATTTGAATAGAGAGCAATGTGTAGATAGCAATGTAGCTAAACTAGCTCTTAAGCAGACAAGGAAGACGCGTCTTATAATACGTTGTCAATGTACGACTTCAGTAACACGAGATAAACTTTTGAAACGATTCAGATTGGTGAGGAATTCTTTAATTATATGAGTAAAGAATATTAGCTCGTCCAGGAGACGATTCGGCTTATTCACGGCCCGTAATGTGTCATTGTTCGATAGACAATCTGCATCGTAATAACGTTCAAGTGTCGACGCAAGTTCATCAGCCATTGGTAAACAATTAAACATTATATACCTATATCTCATGAACCATTAATAAACTTCTCTGGAGGTTATGCATGTCAGAAGCAAGTGAGAAACTAAGTGAGCTGTCAACATGTACCCCACCAGAAATTTTGAGTGTGCCATTGGACTAACGAGCATCGATTCACGTGCTTTTCAATATGTCACAAAGCGAACAGATATTTGTGTAAATTCAATTTCAACAGTTTGCGCAACAATTACGTGAATAGTATGTGACAAGAACATACCATACCATAAATATATAGAGAAAAGAGACCGAGATACAAACGTCTCGGCCGCTGCTGGCAATAAATCATTTTCATATCACTTTCTTCTTTCAATTTAAGCTGGACGATCGTTTTGGTACTACTTCGACATTCAGTGTATCTCTTTTTGCTACTGTGAGTATGCTTTGTGCTATATCAAAGGAATAAAGAGAATAACACGGCACTCTCTTATACTGTCAGACAAAAAATCTTCTTCGTTTACTTTTGTCGAGAAATCGACAACTATAAAATCATGTTTTAGAAGTCTTCGCATATAATAAAAACAAAGCAATTTAACATATGACATTGATAGTTTCACTATATCGATAATGAAAAGGCAGACATTGCTTTTCATGACTATGGTTTTTATTGAAAAATTTTACTGAGCACTAGGACCGTTCAAAGTTGTCGATAGCCCTTAGATTCAAAAATCAATGATGAACTTCTACTATTTTACTATGAAATATAAAATCGATTCAATATTCCATGACTAGCAAGAAAATAATGTCTCGCTTTTCCCCTTGCATTAATTGGATGGAGGAATCATTAGTACTCGTTACTGTGCCTGTTTGACCTGGAATTGAAAAAGGGCATCATATGTCTAGCTGAAAAATATACGTTTCTATATCTAAATTAATATGCCAAAAGAGAACAAGCCAGACGTTGGATGAACAAGAGTTATTCCGATGAAGATGGTTTTGTAAAATCATACCAATTGAATAAGTTATATGCTCGATATCTTTCCCATAATCTGTTCATTATTCAATGATTTTTTAAGTACCACGTATAATTCGAAGCACGCCGACATTTTCTTTACTGATTGGAGCATCACGATTTTTATACCTATGTTTACCAATTGATGCAACAATGGGTGAGAGTACAATCACTCATGTACATACATGAAAAAACATAGATAAAATGAGACACTGTTGACGGTCGTGCTTTCACGGTACGCTATATTAACTTAGTTGTGTGTCAGTTACTTTTTTGTTTAAATTGAAACTGAATTTTGAGTATTTATCGGCAATAAGACCTCGTAATTCGTTCATACTGATTGTTATATTATATGAACTAGAAAAATGCTCTGAGATTTCATGAATATCAATAAATTAAAGTCATACTACGGTAATTCTACTTTCAATGTCTTTTGATGCATTTTAATCGAGAAATAATCTTTGATCGCCAACCGCTTTAGCCATAAGTACAATAGTATGGCTAGAACACTTATAATGACAAATGTCAAAAACAGTCCAGCCATTGATTCCATGGCCATCGCGGTAGATATCTCCGCCGTGTTCGAACAAGTGTTTCCTTCGAACCATTTTCTTTTCAACGTGTCAAATACACCCGATTCTCTTAATGACAAAATGTTTACGTCGAAATCTTTCAAGTAGATCCAATCTTTTGGAAAAACAATTCCGATTGCGCTTTTATCAAAATCAGATCCAACCAAAGTTAAATTACAGTATACGTAGCTTGTCATGTACTCTAAAGGGCCCACATCCATGATAGCTGCATCAATAGTTTCATCTAAAAGTTTTGCATAGATATCTCCGACCCCCAGGACTGGATAAAAATTGCGGCTACCATCGGAAATCTCTCGTAAGTAATAGTCTTCTATCGAGGAGTCAGCGATAATGCCGATGCGACTAAATGGAATTTTTCCGCTTCTTATATCATCGATTCCACTAATCAGACTTGTCGACTTCTGTATCGTTAAATCCGATGCTAAATTAGCTGTATAGGCTGCTATCAATATTAGACTTAACACATAGAGACCCACTGTCAATATGCGACCAGCAGCTGTTGCTACATGAAAGTCAACACCGTTCCCTAATAAAGTACCCATCGAGAACCAAACACTCAATATCATCGCCGAGGCCGTTGATCTTTCGCGTAGTATTTCATTTTGCTGCCGTTCGAATAGAAAAATTAATCCACCGGCATAAACCATTGCCGCCAGAAGAGATAGCCACACGGTTCTTGAAAACGGTTTTAAATATCCGATCAGGTCAATGCTGACCTCGACTGCATTTCGTACGATAATACGTAAAGAATTGTCAAAAACTGATATAGAAAAGTCGACCTTCTCCCTACGTGCAGCAGTGATCGTTACATCTGCTACGACCAGATCATACATGCCACTTGCTACTTCATCGATCAATCCATTGTACGAGTGATTTGATGGCACTAGTACTATCTGAGGAATGAAGCCCATTTTACTGCGTAGATATTCAAGCAGATCGGGCATGTAGCCAATTAGTTTGGTCGTGGAGTTGCCTAATCGATCCTTGACTTCTGTTTTCATCGTAAACGGTGAGCTTTCAATCATCGCAATTCGAAAAGTAACACCAGAAGTTGATGCATAACCACTCGGAGGTTTTAGCGTACCTCCTGGCCATAGGATAGTACTTGTCTGAGAGTACAACGACCAATGCTTCATATCCGACCAGGATAGTACTGGTACATAGTCTAGGCCCGTTGAAGATTCCTGAATATTTTTGAGAATGTAATAATTTCCGTTGATGCGATCGGTCAGATTCGCAGCGAATTGAATCAAGCCAGATACACCGAGAAATGTATTCTGATTAATTGCGCTGAATAGGGAATTTGAATTGAGAAAGTGTCGATCGAAACAAAACGATGTGTTTGTGAATGACAGACAAGAAGAAGAATTGACACAGATCTGTGTTAGTGACTGAATCAATAGCCACGCAGCATCAAATGCAAATAGTGCATAGTAATCGACTTTACTGGCACCAGGAAAGGTTTCTGGTTCGTACTTTTGCCAGATTTCATATGCTTCACTCAATAATGTTCTATTTACTGGTGCGTTGACAAGATTACCAACGACTGGCTCCAGTGTGAACATGCCAATCAGTTCTGAAGATAACGTTTGGTTGAAGGAACTCAATGGAATACTTTCACTCAAAATCCAGATGAATTCCGGGCCTAGAACGTTAGACAAAACGGCTTTTTCTATAATTACAGATGCGTATTGTGCTATAGCCCATAGTATAACAATTCGTGTTTGACCGTTTGCTAAAATACTGTGTAGATCACCTTGAATACTTAGAGTGGCAATGTTAAACTGTAATGTGTTCGCCACCGTCAGATTGTTATTATTAAAAGTCTTAGTGACAGCTCTGACACCGCCGTTTCCGTAGTCGTCATTTTGATAGATAATTAGACTTGATGTCCAATTGAAATACATAAATAACTGCATTAGTGCTAATGCTGCTGTCTCGTCTGCTGGAACTGTGCGATAAAACGCCGGATACATGCGTCGATTCGATAGATCAGGATCAGTAGCAGAGTGTGAGACAACAGGAATACCGACTGTTGCACCAAACGGACCAACAATGTGAGCTTCGCGTGAGAGTGTTGGCCCAACTATACCCACAGTGTTTGTACTCGACATTATCACGCAAATATCTCGAAGAGTTTTCATAGTATCGTTTGTAGTCCTGACAGTTTGCCATTGAAGGAGTTGACCATCAAGTGTTAGGTTGTACTGTTGAGAAAGTAGAATAGCTGCTTTGAACATGGCAGGAGGATGTTTAGCTACTGCTGAATAATCAATTGAGTTTGATGCGTCATAGAAAAGGCCGAGCAGTTGTGCAGACGAAGAATTGGACGACGGCCATGTCGTTGTAACATGTCGAATGTTAATGTGTTCAAATATCAATAAATAGAACCATAAGCGTCGAAAACTCCAGAAATGTAGCATGATTACTTATAAAATCGAAGTCCTTTGCGAGTTACATTTGAACTCATTTTTGTTTTCAATGCCGTTATTACCTGATATACATGTTGTATATAGAACTATTCTTTAACGATTTATTCTCTAATGCATAAAAAATAATCATATTTTCTGAATAGTAAGGTGACAAACCGAAAAGAAAACGAAAGTGCGAGCTAGTATGTGTTTTTGATTGACTTTGATGAAAACAGTTTGATGTTTTATCATCTACCGATTATTTCCACGTTTTGTATAATTCGATAGGAGTACGTACACATTTTTTGTTAAGTGCAATTCGCAGTCTTGAGCTTAATTGAGTTGTAAATAAAGAAAATAATATTACGAGTCAATTTTATCCTCTGTCTCTTGTTATCATCAAACATGACTTTATGTTATTGCACAATCTTGTTCGAAAATATGAAATATAAGAAAACAGTATAAATACAAGCATTTCATGCTCTGTTATTCATCAGTAGGGGAATTTTTTTCTACTTAGCCATCTCTACAACAGTCTTATAGAACGCATGCTACCCGCACGCATCAACACGGCACAGATAGACGATGATATGAATCGATCCGGAATCCTCATTTCAGATTATTGGGTTTGGAATGATAAATTTCTATATTATTTGGTACCGACTCTTTCAATCAGCCAATCAGATGGCATTCAATGGTTGTTTGTAGACTCAGATACGATAGAATCATACAGAAAACAACTTGATGAACGTATTTTTGATATCATCAATCGGTATAAAGTGCAATCAAATGTTCCCGGTTTTCTGATCAGCAAAGCAAATTTTTACTTCTGTTCGATACCTGCCGATTTACCTTGTCTCGAAGAATGGATTCGTGAAAATTATCCAGAACAATATGAAGTCATACAAAATTTTGGACCACGCCAGCATTTACCAAAGAGAATCGATCATCATGATGGGAAATACGCCGAGATAAAGCAAGCTCTTAGTGAAATACAACGTCTGGAACGATTAAAACGAAAGCAAATGATCTATAAATCTGCACAACAGATTTGGGCTGAGTTGAACGAGCTAGACAATATGAATCTGTTAGAATTACTTCCTCGTTGAATAATAAATCCCACGATTGGTGCATCCCAGAAAAGTGCTATACAGGATGTTGAGGATATGGTTGTACCGAAAAATGGTAGTTTAGATCATTCTACGCCGTCACTGCTGTCTTGATGCTAAAATAACAGCACAGTAATACATTGAATACGGTGGTTTCTGCTCTCTAAATTGTCGAATTCACTAGCAGACAAATCTGAATGCACTCTAAGAGATTTGAAAAGAGAAATATACAGAGAAAATGTTTGTACTCGAGGACCATTCGAAGAAAATAGTCATCTCAAAACCAAACGCGTAATCATACGGCACATCAATATACACTGGTCTATTACTACAGTACATTAGTCTTCGGGCACAAATGATATTGGTATGATAGCACCGAAAAATGCAATAAAAGTTGATGATGCGATACATACATGAAAAAAAAGCTTTTTATATATCTAAAGCATCTGATCGCGGCCTAATGTCCTGTCATTCATTTTCGATTTTCTAAGTACCTGAACGCAAGCGTTTATAAGTAGAGAGTTTAAATAGACAGCAATTATATGTCCATTGCTATCGATCACAATAGCAAACATCATAGTAATGATTTTAGTTAGTAACTGTTGCTTTTCTTTCTTCTCTACAGGTTCAACATTATCCCTGTCCTTTTAACGTTGTCATGATATACGACAATGTTGACGTGTACAATACGTCATACAATTATGTGCCGAAGTTTTTATTGGTCAGTGTAAAAGCTAGCGTGTTTTTTATCTTCGCTGGTACTGTCATTGGCATCGGTTTAGGTATTGGTTTACACAATAGCTCTCAAAATCTCATTCTCGTTACCGAATCTCCATCGGTCGATGGAAATACGACAACAATAGTTTTCACAAATGCAACAACAACAACTACTACAAATACTTCGACAACAACCACCACGACAAGTACTTCGACAACAACCACCACGACGAGTACTTCGACAACAACCACCACGACGACGAGTACTTCGACAACTGCCACCACAACGAGTACTTCGACAACAGCCACCACAACGAGTACTTCGACAACAGCCACCACAACGAGTACTTCGACAACAGCCACCACAACGAGTACTTCGACAACAACCAGCTTAAAGTAGTACTACATCTTCATAAAATGGCAATTAAAGTGGGCAACCTTTATTACGAACAGACAAATGTTAAACGTATTGACTTTAACAATAACTAATCAGACTGAGTCGGATGGGTATTGGTGTATACAAGAAAGAGACAATCATATCCACTTTAAATTCATTCTAGTTTGTATTTTTCGCATTAATGAACTTGAAAATGATATTCTAAAACCAATCAATTAATTATTCATTTGATCAGCCTTCACACGGCCCGAGATTAAACTAATTCTGAAAAAGAATCAATTGTGGTAAATACACCATTCATTTTTGAAAATAGTTATTATATGGGAAAAAACCAATGAGACAAAACCATCTCTATAGAATTGTTTTCAAGTACAGATTAACTATCAAAAGGTTGAAATTTTTTTCAGAAGAGTAATTTCGGATAATAACGTATTTTTGCTAGCATATACAACTCAATTACATATCATGCGTCATTTGCAGGCCATTTTATACTATTGATATCGAGGCTCTTTTTTTCTCTTAAAATAGAGTAGAAATAAGTCCATTAACGGAAGGCAGGCCAACAGAACGCAAAAGAAAAATAAAAACCTCACTTTTATTCGGTGCAGTTACAAAACACACTGATACACAATAGTTTAATATACATACCTCTCAAGTTTATTCTGATATCATCGAATAATACATAGTTTCCTGTTAATTCATAAAGCTGATAGTATTATAGCAGAAAGAACACATCTTGGTCGTAACAAGTGGACAACTATCGGTGAATCATCGACAAACAGTTCTCGAAATCTGCTAGGAACTGTTTTAAAATTGATTCAACCAGATGAACTAAGTGATTATTTAAAAGCAATGATAGAAGAGCATGTATCATACAGTGACCTATTTGTTACTCCATTGATGTTTGCTTCGAAATATGAACAATATTTAATTGTACGTTCTTTTTTGAAACATTATTTGTGCCAATGTTACATTGATCACCGTGATTAACAGACAACACTCCGGTTTGTGGTTCAAGCTTGAATTTTGCTTAGCTGAGCCAATACCGATCACAGGTCAGACGCACGTATATCTGAAACATATTTATTCATATCATTATCCTTGAGATGCGAAAATAAACATTTCCAAAGGGTCAAATATTTAGTTGACAGAATAATCTTGATAATGGTATTACGACTGATATGATACATGTATCCTCTATTGATTTGTCTTGGACATTGCGACTGAATTTTGACCTGATAAGTCGCGAAGAGAGAACAGATGGTGGGCGATATATTTTAACTAAAGTCAATAGAACATTTACGTATATGCATGAGAGAGAGAGCGAGAAACGGGCGTTAGATATCTTTCTATGGCAAAAAAACCTTTTGGTATATTACCGCTACATTTTATGAGTAATGCTATATGTGACTGTTACTCATAAACGATAGAAGTAAACGAAAACAAAATTTTATGGAACCATACGTATGATTTTTCTAACTCATTGAGACCTATCTCTGACGCAGTCTCTCGTTTTTTCACCGATCAAACAAGAACCATGCGTTATATCAAATACTGTTTCGTCACCAATTTCAATTAAAAATGACGTTTGCCACATCGATGACTGAAACAAGACGTGATGTACCACTCTTTACTATGGTTGTTTCTTATGCTATTCTGTAAAAGCAAAACGTAATTTATGTAACGATGAGTACTGTGAGTCAAGTCATATAAAAACTTGTTGCTCCATATATCGAAAAATAGTTGTTTCCAGCGCAGTTTTGACGAAAACGTTAAATATTTTGCTTTAGTTCAGAATTATATATATATATATATATATCGTATACGATCAACGGTGTAGATCGAGTCGGTTCATACGTAAGTGTTTTCAAGCGCAATATCTATTTGTCGTCGTATTGCAAACAATGATCACCACAACAAGATTATTGGTCATTTTCGTTGTTTTGAGTAAGTATCTGCTTGCCAGTATTCAATAGTTGTCATTTCACTTTTTGAATAGGTATCTTAATACAACACAGTTGGAGTTTTGTATGCTACAATCAGAAGAATCTGACAACATCAGATACAGCCCCCGTAACTAGACAGAACAAAGCTTGCGCTGTAAGTAAAAAATGATTTCATTTTGATGATGTGAGTGAGGAAGTGGACGGATAAATACCGATCTACGCACAGTCTATCCGATGTGCACCCTCATCCCCCATCTGCTTCTTCGTTTCATCAACCCAAATATTAATTTCCTACTAGACTTTGATTGCCATCTGCGATGGTGTAGTTTATGGTGCTGATTGTCTTGGTCTGTCTTCCAGAGAGAAATGTGGTACGACACTCTATTTTCCGTGGCCTAATGGTCCCTCAAGCTGCTCAGCTACATATAAATGTTGTTATGCTGATCTATGCAACACATATAACGCATCTAAAGCCAATTCCTTTCATTCCGGTATAATGATTCCTATATGGTTTCTGATCTTCACACAATTAATTTTTTAATTCAACAAAACATTCGCCACAAACTATGCTTTTTTTCTGGATATCCAATAAATAACGCTCGTCGAGGCAGACTCGCTTTGCCCTCGACTGATTTTTTTTAAATAGACGTCATATTGTGAAATATTTTCTTAAAACCTTTTTTATTTCGAGAAACTGAAGATGACATTCGCATACAAAATAATGTTAGTTTTCAGTTAACGATTCAGAAACAACTTTGATGATAGAGATAAATCACCTTTGCCCATAACTGTAAATAATTAGATAATGCTCGCCGAGGCAGAATGGCTTAAGTCTCTGCTGGTTTTCTTTTCACTTCACTCTTTTCAAAAGAAGTATCAAACCGCTCATCTCGCAGTCGGTCGTCGGCGTTCCTCCGGTCCGTCACTCCCGACTGCTCGATATTGCGCATTGTACATAGTCTACTTAATGAACACGTGTCTTTCTCTCCAATGGTTCACGAACAATTAAGATACTTCAACAAAATGATAAATGAAGAAGGCTTTCAGCTGGAAACTGTCGTTCATTTTCTAGAAGTTATGAGAGGAGACATATACAACTATCGGTGTGATGCTAGCACGAACAAACGAAGTACTAGCTAAAAAATTTTTCCAAAGTTTGTCCCGTGAATAAAAGTACCACCATTCGATGCAGAATTAAATTCTGAGTCAAATGGTGTAGTTTTCATGGACGGGACATATTTAGTAAAAAATTTTTTAGCTAACACATCGTTTGTTCATGCTAGCTTCATACCGATCATACACCCACAACAAAATAATCTAACGTATTGAATGACTGATTCCCTGATTCATTCTTCCTAGATATCCAATTTGTCAGCTTTAAACAGCGCGATACCTGATTGGTCGATTTTATCACGATTAGTTCGTCACTGGTCACAATAGTCAATAGAGCCGTTTATGTAAAGATTTTTAAAACTTGACCTTTGACCCTGCCACAGACAAACAAACTATTTTTTTGTATGACCCTCCTTTCAGTCGAGGGGATAAACATCAAGGATAGACTTGATTGCATGTCTAAAACAACGAAAAGCATTGAGTGAGCCAGGTGTCAATCACGCTCTTGAGGAGAAAGATATTCTTACTTGAACAACGTGGTGTTCCATTTGTCGGCTGAGAACTTGCACTTGAAATACTGGATTCAGATGTCGCCACTACTGTTGCTATATATACAGTTGTCGAACGTTGAGACGGTGTGGAATTGGAGTGTGAATCACTAATTGTGAATTTATTGCGGTATAGAAATTTGGACGGAATATTGATAACGCTTGTGCATCTTCTGTATTGTCGTTGCAATGTTTAATGATGCAAAAGCAGGTCGTAGAATAGGATTGATTGAAAAAACGTTTTGTAGCATTACGAAATTTACAGAGCTTCGGCCTATATAAGAAATTTTGGTACTATTCGCATATCCTATACTAGCTACAATTGTACCATGTAGATGTAATTCATATGTAGGCACTGTCATTAGCTATGTGCTGTCAAGTACCTTCCATGGAATCATAGAAAACAGCGCAGAGCGCAACGTTTTGACGTACAAATGTATAAGATGCTTATACATCATGTCCTGTGATAGCAAGCAACCTGTACTAACAAGCTTTATAAAAAAGATTTCCAATGAAAAGTCCAAGAGTGTGTTTGGCAGAGGGATCGTAATACGTTATTCCATTTTAGAAACGTTGGCACAAATGACAGACAGTGGAGGCGGAGACGTGGCTAGTGTTTGATTGACCGACGCTTGACACATTGCGCAAGAGGCTGTACAATTATCGGTTCAACAAATGCATGAATCCCTTATTCCGAACTGCTCAAAAACATTCATAGTACACTGTCCGTAACCAATGTTTGTCATTCTTGAAAAGTTACAATGATTGACAGCATTATTTCAGAACGGATTCGAGCGACTGATACCAATGCGATATCTATAAGTTCGACCTGAATCCTGAGGCACAGTGGTAATGACTGCAATGAGACAATAATCACATCCTTGAGCATTTTTATGACGGTATGGATTCTGTGTGACCTAAAAGATACTGCTTGTTTTATTTGAGTAGCTTCAGTTGCGATGAGGAGAGTTGTGAAGCGTGGATATTGGTACAGTTAAGAATGATTCATGTGAAGGTAGAAGGACTGTTAGAATACAGAGTTTGAAAGCGAAGATAGATATAGTCTGATGATGTTCTCTCCAAAGCTGACTTTAATATATACCTTTCTTCAGGAGAGAAAACCAAAAAAAGACAAATATTTCACTTTTCTTTCTCATTGTCAGTCGGGAGCATGTAGAATTTTTCTCCCGTCAGTATTTGTCTTCTATATTTTGAAAGTGTTACAGTTTCTTCGTGATATAACACGACAGTGATGAATGACTTGCATGTTTTTCTGCGACATCGCACAGATTTTCCAAACATACCGAGCAGAAAGATCATGAAAGAAAACTTTTGAAAATCACCAGTTAAAATACAATTCTGAATATGAGTTTGTACGAAGTGAGTAGGAACATTGTCGTATATTTCAATGGATCTAATGATCATTAACAGTTGGGCGTTGAAGGAGAAGTGTTGTTATTTGCGATTCCTTTTGCGTATGTGATATCGTATATAAGTGTGAAACATTAGTGAATATGTAAATTTAACGCTTGCATGTACCACTTGTAACCCAAAAAAAAAGAACGCAAGGTAAATCAGTAAATGATGATTGAGTATTGATCATTTGTGTCCAGGAACAGAACACAAAAAATTGCTTGATCAGAGAGAAAAAAACATTTATGCCAACGCCCATTTGTCACGCATATGAATAATATAAAACATGTTAATTTCAAAGAAAAAAACATTGTATTTTATGTCTAACTTCATACACTCTTGCGCGTGAGTACTCAAATGAAATATACTGAACACAGTATTGATCTTGATCATGAAGGTAAGGATGAAACATCGGCATTGTTTCCCTATCCATTTACTTTTCGTACCCGGGAACAATTACAAGAATATTTTGTCAAAGAACTAACTAAGAACCGAGTAGTATATGTTATCAAGATCGTGCTAGGATCACTTACACTGGTCTTGCCGTTATTAAATGTGTTTATGGTCTATCGAAGTGTAGTTTATCAACGGGAAGATTTTGGGGATACTTATTCAACGTTTCATTCCATTATATTCTATGGTGAATTTACTTTGGTACATGTTACAGTATTTTTTGTTTTGATTGATTTCCTCTATCATAAACTCAAAAGTCGTCAATCATTATTTTCGAATAAAGGTGAATGGGTGAACCTTCTCGATGTCGAGTTTACTTTCATGGCATTCAATTTAATTAAATTAATTCCGATACTCTCAGTGAATAGTTTCAATTTTATTCTAACGGAGATTTCCATCTGTACGCCAATCTTTTTAAAATATTCTCGGTCAGTTCAAGCAGTCACTTTCACTCTACTTACTTTAATAATATCTATTCAAGTGATTATCGTCCTTGCCTTACTTGTTCTTATCAATCTAGTTAAAGTCTACCAGGTGTCGTTTGTTGGCGAAACGCGAAATCCATTACTATGGTCACAGAACCAATGGTTATTGTTTATCGGTTTTGCCGCGAATATTATCAACATAACGGATACGCCGACTATCAGTCAGTTGTCATTCATGTGGACATTAATGAATAAAACTTGGTCACATGACGCAAATATGTGGTTTATGGATAAACTCGGAAGCAAACGAAAGATTCATATCGTGAATCAACTGTATGAAAGACTTGGATTTTTGAAAGCTTTTCTTTGGCTACGAACGATGTCAGCTATCGATTTGCACTGTATTGTACGTTTACCTCCACCACTCGAAGAGTCTTCTTCTCACATGTAGTATATACGCATTCAATCAACTTTTGACAATGAGTTTTTTTCCTTTTGAATCAAAATTTAAACCAGTACCCAAAGAGGTTATTTTTTTCTGAAGATTTTAATAAAAGAAAAAAAGAAAGCTAGATGCATATGTTCATCATTCTGTACGCTCCAATGCTTGTTCGAAATCTTGAATGATATCTTACAGTTCTTCGACACCGATCGAAACTCGCAGAAGACAAGATCTGACAGCTTAGTTGTGCGAATGAATCCAGTCCAGTCGACCAGGCTTTCTACTTCATCGAAACTGGTCGCAAGCGCACAGAGAAGCAATGATTGAGCGAACGATTTGGCTGACAGTTCGTTTTGTAGTTCGAAACTGAATATTGCAGGAAGATGACGAGTAGCTAACAAGTAACTAGAATATGACTCTGAACTAGGATGATGAGCTTTCATTACTTTGTAACTATTGAACAACAATCAAAGCTGTTTGACATTGTCGACGAACTCGAAGAGAAAAGGTGCGCATTGGTCTCAATAAAAGTCACGCTTCCAGATTTCTGATAACCGCCCTATTAGTTGCGCGCTCGTCGAGGAAAGAATGAACGATAAGAACACCTTCAACTGAATCGCTGTGTCCTGCGAGGTATTTAGCTGATGAGTGCATGATCACGTGTGCACCAAATTCAAATGGATGGAAACCGAACGGTGACGACAGAGACGATATCAGACATGGGATCGGAGACCATCGGAATCCAATGTGATTCCGTCACCAGGATTTCATCGGATCCGAGTACGGGATTGATCGACCTGGGGATTTCACGAATGTTCTTCAATGAAAATATTCGATACGGTATCATTTTCCTGAAAATATAGAAAAGAAGCAATCGTTGACTGTAAAAGACAGCTAACACTTGAAAACTACTTGCTGACAAATGGCTAATTGGCTCGACCCATTAAAGAACGAACTGTGGAGATAATGGCAACATTGGATGAAGAACACACTGCGACAAACACATTTTCCCTAATTCACTTACTCGGTAATCAATTGCTTTGTCATAGTACTGATAAGGACGCTCACATCATCAGTTATGTATCTTCAAGACAACTTCAAGGCAAAATCATCGGTCTTTACTTCTCGTGAGCTCTATTCTTTCGATCTATTCTCGTCTGTTTTATATCCTGCACTTCTAGCGATCATTGGCGTCCACTTTCACGACAGTTTACACCTAAGTTAGTCGAGTTCTACAACAACATGTCTGAAGAAATGAGAAAACACTTTGAAATTGTGTTTATCTCCTGGGATCGAGATGAAAACGAATTTAATAGCTATTTCAGTGAAATGCCCTGGTTGGCTTTGCCATATTCAGGTAATGCAGTAGTTCTTTGTGGAAGAACAAACAGTATGATAGATACTCTTTGATATGTTCAGATCGAGCTCGAAAGGATGCCTTGGACAGTAAATACGGCGTAGAAGGGATTCCATGTTTAATCGTTCTGTCATCATCGGGTCAAGTGATCACTACGGAAGGTGTGGAAGAAGTGAGCAGCGGTGGTTACGAATGTTTTCTCAGATGGGCATCAGGTAAATATTTCATCAAATCGACATAATAGTCATAGCGATTCTTTTTACACGAATGAAATGTGTATTTACATAACCTAGAAATATTGATCGAAGATACTATCGATACTACGGTTGATTCGTGATTTGAATTTCTATGTGGTTTGTGCGGTTTTGGTTTCACTCGATACTTGCCGACGAAGAATAATATTGAGTTTTGTTTTTTACGAAAATATGCGATTACCAAATAGGCAAATGAAATCGTATTCTACGCTAGACGTTAGTTAATATTTGCTGACAAATATGAGTATCTCTCCTTGCATAAAATAGAGTACATAGAAACATTCAAATATGATACCGATCAGATTACGATCTAATGGAATACATGAACTAATGAGCTTGATTGAATATTCAAGCATCGAAAGAGAAATATTGGACTTGAAAAAAGTGGAAGGAAACAATGTCGACACCTTAGGAATTTTGCGAAAGATATTATTGACTTTCTTGATTTGTTTCATATTCCACTATACTCGAGCCTACATCGCTGGTACTCACCTTTAAATGTTTATTTGAGCAATACTGTACATTGTTTTCATTACATTCCAGCAGAAGCGTTTTTCGATATTTATTTTCCAATCATCCTATGAGAGATTGTATACTGTGATTTATAGCGAGTCAAATTATCATCACAACAATCGGGCACAGTGATGAATTACATCAACATCATGATGGTATGCGTGGTCATCAGATATTGATGACAAAGGCAGCAAACAGTGCCTCAAGCAACCATCGGTCATATGCATACAGTAGTCAAACTCATACGAGTCGAGGATCATCATCTGTATTCGTCGAGTTATTTGGTAATAATCTGTTGTGTCATGAATTTCATGGTAGTACCAAGAGTGCCGCCTTCGTCTCAGTCGAAGAAATTGCTGGAAAAGCCATTGGACTTTATTTTTCGTAAGCTTTCACTTAATCATCATATGAATTGTAACATTATTTCACTAGGGGCCATTGGTGTCCACCTTCACGACAGTTTACACCTAAGTTGGTCGAGTTCTACAACAGCTTGTCTGAAGAAATGAGAAAACACTTTGAAATTGTGTTTATCTCCTGGGATCGAGATGAAAACGAATTTAATAGCTATTTCAGTGAAATGCCATGGTTAGCTTTGCCATATTCAGGTAATGCAGTAGTTCTTTGTAGAAGAGCAAACAGTATGATAGTTACTCTTTGATATGTCTAGATCGTGCTCGAGAACAATTGTTGCGCAGTAAATATGGAGTGACTGGTATTCCATGTCTGATCATTTTGTCATCATCGGGTCAAGTGATCACTATAAAGGGTGTTCATGAAGTGAGCAACAATGGTGCTGCATGTTTTGCGGCTTGGATGACAGGTAAATACTAATTCGAACTTACAAAGCTCTCAGAGAAAAGAAAGTGGTGTGTTTATTCAGTGACTGGGTTTTGATATTTGTAGTAGAATTCAAGATAATAAAATATTATTCGATGTCGAACACATTATGGGAGATGCGCTGTGCCAGGGAATCATCTAGATTCTAAAACAACTTTTTTTTATATATTATAGCAAGTGGAATCACACTGCGAACGATGACTATCGTGACAACAGCTGATCATCAATTGAGAACAGGTGGTAGCCATGAAAGCGCTGAGCAGGTAATTTTGGCAAGTGCTACATCGGGCAAAGCAGTTAGCCACCAATTGAACGAATGCAGTGGAAATATTAAGACTGGAAAGTTCCTGATAACAAGTGAAACACATAGTAGTACCGGAGGAACTGGTGGATTTGCGATGGCAGAAAGAGCAGTGAAACAATCAAGCAGTAGCGAAGCAGCTTCGAAAGCAAGAACGGTGACACACTCAAGCAGTGCTCAACGATCACTTCAAACAAGTAAAAGTGGGCAAGCTACAGGTGTCACAATAGCCGAAAGAACAGTGAAACAATCAAGTAGTGGCCAGCAAGCACTTCAGTCTAGTAGTAGCGAAGAAGCTTCGGCAGCGAGAACCGTCATACAGTCGAGCAGTGGTCAGCAGGCATTGCAATGTAGTGGTAGTACGAAAGTGACAGGTGTAAGAGTAACAGAAAGAATAGTTGAGCAAGAAACTCCGTATGTTGTCAAGGAGACCCGTGTACAAGTAGACCGAAAACATGGCAAAGTATGTTATTTTATTGTGACATCCGCTTTACCTGTTTTATGTGGTACATCTTTAGGAAGCCAAAACTGAAGTTATTGAGGACACCAGCGACGAGAATGTCTTGTCAATAACTCGCAATAGGCGATTCGAAACAAAGCGATCGTAAGTGCAATCTTCCAAACGCCTTTCCACTCACGTTTCTCTCTCATCTCGATGCCACTAGACGCAGATGCTGCTTCATTTGGGTCGGTGTTTGTTGTTTGCTTGCCATTCTACTTGCACTGTTGATTATCTTCATCGCGTGGAGATTGTTGCCGTATCTTCGAAAGTCAGCTACTGTAGTAGTCACCGAGGGAAAAAGTCTGTTGACAACGAGACACGTTAATACTCAAACTTCATAATGCACTGTATAGAAACACCAGAGATTGCACTGAAAGCAATGTTCACCACCAGTTATTTCATCGCAGGAGCCAATCAAACTGAAAATATTACCGATGTTGATGATATGGCCGATCAAGTAAATCAAGTGACAGATGAGTGTCGTTTCATTACTCTATATTTCTGTGTAGATAAATCTAAAACTATCTGAATATAAGATTCGCGTTGTCAATGGATTCTTCTGGAATGTCTTACTCTCGCGTCGGTATCGCAAGTGAGTTTTCTTCAGATGGATGCTCTTGATTGGTATTTTGTTATTTGTTTAGGGAAATGTGTCCAAATGGATTACTCGGAAATATTCTTCAGTTGAATATTCTTGCATCACTTACGAATCAATGTACTCTTTCGGACAAAGTATGCACAAGACAGTTCATGGAAGGATTAAAGACTAAAATATATGAACTTGGGGAAATCTTCGTCAAAATTCGATTCATGGATGGTAGATCAAGAAACATGAGGTTGAAATTATGTATTCTAACGGATATGGACAGTAAGAATAGGATATTTGGATATATTAGTATTTTGTCTGATATGTGTGTAGAAATAGAAGATTTCGGAGATGTGTCATCGGAGAAAGAGATACTAAGCACGGTGGCAGTTCCAATAGCAAAAGAAGCAACAAGAAAAACGCTACGGCCACCCCCGCCGCCAACTAGAACAACTAGAGCAACAACAACAACAACAGCTAGCACTACTACTACAACGAGAAAACAACGTCGAAAAACAACGACAACCATAACAATGGCACCTGTGAAAGCAATCAATCCCTTGTGTTTTGTGAAACCTGCTTCAGTCCGTTCGATTTTCATGTCCGGTCATCACAACACAGAGATTCGTGATGAGACACACGNACTCCCTGGATTGGATAAAAATTGCGGCTACCATCGGAAATCTCTCGTAAATAATAGTCTTCTATCGAGGAGTCAGCGATAATACCGATGCGACTAAATGGAATTTTTCCGCTTCTTATATCATCGATTCCACTAATCAGACTTGTCGACTTCTGTATCGTTAAATCCGATGCTAAATTAGCTGTATAGGCTGCTATCAATATTAGACTTAACAAATAGAGACCGACTGTCAGTATGCGACCAGCAGCCGTTGCTACATGAAAGTCAACACCATTCCCTAATAAAGTACCCATCGAGAACCAAACACTCAATATCATCGCCGAGGCCGTTGATCTTTCGCGTAATATTTCATTTTGCTGCCGTTCGAATAGAAAAATTAATACACCGGCATAAACCATTGCCGCCAGAAGAGATAGCCACACGGTTCTTGAAAACGGTTTTAAATATCCAATTAGGTCAATGCTGACCTCAACTGCATTTCGTACGATGATACGTAAAGAATTGTCAAAGACTGATATAGAAAAGTCGACCTTCTCCCTACGTGCAGCAGTGATTGTTACATCTGCTACGACCAGATCATACACGCCACTTGCTACTTCATCGATCAATCCATTGTACGAGTGATTTGATGGCACTAGTACTATCTCAGGAATGAAGCCCATTTTACTGCGCAGATATTCAAGCAGATCAGGCATGTAGCCAATTAATTTGGTAGTGGAGTTGCCTAATCGATCTTTGACTTCTGTTTTCATCGTAAATGGTGAACTTTCAATCATCGCAATTCGAAAAGTAACACCAGAAGTTGATGCATAACCACTCGGAGGTTTTAGCATACCTCCTGGCCATATGATAGTACTTGTTTGAGAGTACAACGACCAATGCTTCATATCCGACCAGGACAACACTGGTACATAGTCTAGACCCGTTGAAGATTCCTGACTATTTTTGAGAATGTAATAATTACCATCGATGCGATCGGTCAGATTCGCAGCGAACTGAATCGAGCCAGAAACACCGAGAAATGTATTCTGATTAATTGCGCTGAATAGGGAATTTGAGTTGAGAAAGTGTCGATCGAAACAAAAGGATGTGTTTGTGAATGACAGACAAGAAGAAGAATTGACACAGATCTGTGTTAGTGACTGAATCAATAGCCACGCAGCATCGAATGCAAATAGTGCATAGTAATCGACTTTACTGGCACCAGGAAAGGTTTCTGGTTCGTACTTTTGCCAAATTTTATATGCTTCACTCAATAATGTTCTATTTATTGGTGCGTTGACAAGATTACCAACGACTGGTTCCATTGTAAACATGCCAATCAGTTCTGTAGATAACGTTCGGTTGAAGGAACTCAATGGAATACTTTCACTCAAAATCCAGATGAATTCCGGGCCTAGAACGTTAGACAAAATGGCTTTTTGTATAATTGCAGATGTGTATTGTGCTATAGCCCATAGTATAACAATTCGTGTTTGACCGTTTGCTAAAATATTGTGTAGATCACCTTGGATACTTAGAGTGGCAATGTTAAACTGTAATGTGTTCGCCACCGTCAGATTGTTATTATTAAAAGTCTTAGTGATAGCTCTGACACCGCCGTTTCCGTAGTCGTCATTTTGATAGATGATTACACTTGATGTCCAATTGAAATACATAAATAACTGCATTAGTGCTAATGCTGCTGTTTCGTCTGCTGGAACTGTGCGATAAAACGCCGGATAGATACGTCGATTCGATAGATCAGGATCAGTAGCAGAGTGTGAGACAACAGGAATACCAACTGTTGCACCAAACAGGCCAACAATGTGAGCTTCGCGTGAGAGTGTTGGCCCAACGATACCCACAGTGTTTGTGCTCGACGTTATCACGCAAGTATCTCGAAGAGTTCTCATAGTATCGTCTGTAGTCCTGACAGCTTGCCATTGAAGGAGTTGCCCACCAACTGTTAGGTTGTACTGTTGAGAAAGTAGAATAGCTGCTTTGAACATGGCAGGAGGATGTTTAGTTACTGCTGAATAATCAGTTGAGTTTGATGCGTCATAAAAAAGGCCGAGCAGTTGTGCAGACGAAGAATTGGACGACGGCCATGTTGATGTAGCACGTCGAATATTAATGTGTTCAAATATCAATAAATAGAACCATAAGCGTCGAAAACTCCATAAATGTAGCATGATTACTTATAAAATCGAAGTCCTTTGCGAGTTATATTTGAACTCATTTTTGTTTTCAATGTGACTATTACCTGATATACATGTTGTATATAGAACTATTGTTTAACGATTTATTCTCTAATGCATAAAAAATAATCATATTTTCTGAATAGTAAGGTGACAAACCGAAAGGAAAACGAAAGTGCGAGCCAGTATATGTTTTTGATTGACTTTGATAAAAACAGTTTAATGCTTTATCATCTATCGATTATTTCCATGCTTTGTATAATTTGATAGAAGTGCGTACACATTTTTTGTTAAGTGCAATTCACAGTCTTGAGCTTAGTTGAGTTTTGAATAAAGAAAATATTATCACGAGTCAATTCTATCTTCTATCTCTTGTTATCGCCAAACATCACTTTATGTTATTGCGCAATCTTGTTCGAAAATATGAAATACAACAAAACAGTATAAATACAAGCATTTCATGCACTGCTATTCATCAGTACTGGAGTTTTTTTCAGCTTAGCTATTGCTGTATTAGTTTTATAGAACGCATGCTACCCGCACGCATCAATACGGAACAGATAGACGATGATATGAATCGATCCGGAATTCTCATTTCAGACTATTGGGTTTGGAATGATAAATTTCTATATTATTTGGTACCGACTCTTTCAATCAACCAATCAGATGGCATTCAATGGTTGTTTGTAGACTCAGATACGATAGAATCATACAGAAAACAAGTTGATAAACGTATTTTTGATATCATCAATCGGTATAAAGTACAATCAAATGCTCCCGGTTTTCTGGTCAGCAAAGCAAATTTTTACTTCTGTTCGATACCTGCCGATTTACCTTATCTCGAGGAATGGATTCGTGAAAATTATCCAGAACAATACGAAGTCATACAAAATTTTGGACCACGCCATCATTTACCAAAGAGAATCGATCATCATGATGGGAAATATGCCGAGATAAAGCAAGCTCTTAGTGAAATACAACGTCTGGAACGATTAAAACGAAAGCAAATGATCTATGAATCTGCACAACAGATTTGGACTGAGTTGAACGAGCTAGACGATGCGAATCTGTTAGAACTACTTCCTCGTTGAATAATAAATTTCACGATTGTTACATTGGCACATCCCAGAAAAGAGCTCTTCGGGATGTTGATGATGTGGCCGTACCTAAAAATTGTCGTTTAGATCATTCTACGCCGTCACTGCTGTCTTGATGCTAAAAGAACAGCGCAGTAATGCACTGAATACGATAGTTTCTGCTCTCTAAATTGTCGAATTCACTAGCAGACAAATATGAATGCACTCTAAGAGATTTAAAAAGAAAAATATGCAGAGAAAATGATTGTACTCAAGGACCATCCGAAGAAAACAGTTACATCTCAAAACCAAACGCGTAATCATATGGCACATCAATATGCACTAGTCTATTACTACAGTACATTAGTCTTCAGGCACAAGTGATATTGGTATGATAGCACCGAAAAATGCAATAGAAGTTGATGATGCGATACGCACATGAAAAAAAACTTTTTATATGTCTAAAGCATCTGATCGAGGTATAATGTCCTGTCATTCATTTTCGATTTGGTAGGTATCTGGACACAAGCGTTTATAAGTAGAGAGTTTACATAGACAGCAAATATATGTCTATTGCTATCGGTCACAATAGCAAACATCATAGTAATGATTTTAGTTAGTAACTGTTGCTTTTCTTTATTCTCCACAGGTTCAACATTATCCCTGTTCTTTTAACGTTGTCATGATATACGACAATGTTGACGTGTACAATACGTCATACGATTATGTGCCGAAGTTTTTATTGGTCAGTGTAAAAGCTAGCGTGTTTTTTATCTTCGTTGGTACTGTCATTGGCATCGGTTTAGGTGTTGGTTTACACAATAGCTCTCAAAATCTCATTCTCGTTACCGAATCTCCATCATTCGATGCAAACACGACAACAACCACCACAACGAGTACTTCGGCAACAGACACTACGACGAGTACTTCGACCACAGCCACAACGAGTACTTCAACAACAACCAGCACGACGAGTACTTCGACAACAACCACCACAACCACCACAACGAGCACTTCGACAACGACCACCACAACGAGTACTTCGACAACAGCCACAACGACTACTTCGACAATAACCAGCTTAAAGTAGTACTACATCTTCATAAAATGGCAATTAGAGTGGGCAACCTTCATTACGAACAGACACATGTTAAAATGATTTACTTTAACAATAACTAATCACACTGAGCCGGATGAGTATTGGTGCGTACAAGAAAGAGACAATCGCATCCATTTTAAATTGATTCTATTTTGTATTTTTCGCATTAATGAACTTGAAAATAAAATTCTAAAACTAATCAATTAATTATTCATTTGATCAGTCTTCACAAGGCCAGAGATTAAACTAATTCTGAAAGAGAATCAATGTGGTGATGACGCCATTCATTTTTGAAAATACTTATCATATGGGAAAAAAACCATCTCTATCGAATTGTTTTCAAGTACAGAATAACTATCAAAAGATTGGAATTTTTTTCCCAGAAGAGTATAATTTCGAACAATAACGTATTTTTGCTAACATATACAACTCAATTACATATCATGCGTCATTTGCAGGCTGTTTTATACTATCGACATTGAGTCTTTTTTTCTCTTAAAATAGAGTAGAAATGAGTCCATTAACTGAATGCAGGCCAACAGAACGCAAAAGAAAAAGAAATACCTCATTTTCTATTCTGTGCAGTTACAAAACACACTGATACACAATAATTTAACATACGTATCTCTCAAGTTTATTTTGATATCATCGAGCAATACATAGTTTCCAGTTAATTCATAAAGCTGATAGTATTATAGCACAAAGAACACATCTTGGTCGTAACAAGTGGACAACTATCGGTGAATCATGGACAATCAGTTCTCGAAATCTATTAGAAACTGTTTTAAAATTGATTCAATCAGATGAACTAAGTGATTATTTAAAAACAATGATAGAAGAGCATGCATCATACAGTGACCTATTCGTTACTCCATTGATGTTTGCTTCGAAATATGAACAAGAATCAATTGTACGTTCTTTTTTGGAACATCATTTGTCTCGATGTGACATTGATCCCTGTGATTAACAGACAACATTCCGGCTTGTAATTTAAGCTTGAATTGTGCTTAACTGAGACAATACCGATCACAGAACAGACGCACGTATATCTGAAACATATTTATTCACATCATTATGCTTGAGATGTGAAAATAAACATCCAAAGGGTCAAATATTTCGTTGACAGAATAATCTTGATAATAGTATTCCATCTGATATGATACATACATCCTCTTTTGATTTGCCTTGAATACTGCGACTGAGTTTTGACCTATTAAGTTGCGAAGAGAGAACAGATGGTGGGCGATATATTTTCACTAACATCAATAGAACATTTACGAATATGCATGACAGAGAGAGAGAGAGAGAGAGAGAGTAACGGGCATTAGATATCTTTCTATGGCGAGAAGCGTTTTGGTATATTACCGCTACATTTAAGAGTAATGCTGGATGCGACCATTACTCATAAACGATAGAAGTGAACGTAAACAAAATTTTATGGGAACATACGTATGCTTTTTCTAACTCATCGAGACTTATCTCTGACACAGTCTCTCGTTTTTTTCGCCGATCAAACAAAAAATACACGTTACATCCAATACTCTTTCGTCACAAATTTCAATTAAAAATAATGTTTGTCATATTGATGACCGAAACAAGACGTGATGTGCCACCCTTTTCTACAGTTGTTTCTTATATTATTCAATAAAAGCAAGACGTAACTTATGTAACGATGAGTACTCTGAGTCAAGTCGTATAAAAACTTGTTGCTCCACGTATTGAAAAATAATTGTTTCCAGCGCAGTTTGGGTGAATACATTAAATCTTTTGCGTTAGTTCATAATTATATACATATATCGTATACGATCAACGGTGTAGATCGAGTCGGTTCATACGTAAGTGTTTTCAAGCGCAATATCTATTTGTCGTCGTACTGCAAACAATGGTCGCCACAACAAGATTATTGGTCATTTTCGTTGTTTTGAGTAATTATCTATTTGCCGATATTCGATAGTTGTCATTTCACTTTTTGAATAGGTATCTTAACACAACAAAGTTGGAGTTTTGTATGCTACAATCAGAAGAATCTGACAACATCAAGTACAGCCCCCTTAACTAGACAGAACAAAGCTTGTGCTGTAAGTAAAAAATGATGTCATTTTGATGATGTGAGCGAGGAAACGGACGGATAAATACCGATCTACGCGCAGTCTATCCGACGTGCACTCTCAGCCCCCATCTGCTTCTTCGTTTCATCAACCCAAATATTAATTTCCTACTAGACTTTGATTGCCATCTGCAATGGTGTAGTTTATGGTGCTGACTGTCTTGGCCTGTCTTCCAGAGAGAAATGTGGTACAACACTCAATTTTCCGTGGCCTAATGGTCCTTCAAGCTGCTCAGCTACATATAAATGTTGTTATGCTGATCTATGCAACACATATAACGTATCTAAAGCCAATGCCTTTCATTCCGGCATAATGATTCCTATATGGTTTTTGATCCTCACACAATTTATCTTTTAATTCAACAAAACATTCGCCACAAGCTATGCTTTTTTTTCTGAATATCCAATAAACACCAAAGATCGACTGCATTGCATGTCTAAAACAACGAAAAGCATCGGGTGAGTCAGGTGTCAATCACACTCTTGAGGAGAAAGATATTCTTACTTGAAGAGCATGGCGTTTCATTCGTCGGCTGAGAACTGTCACTTAAAATACTGGATTCAGACGTCACCACTACTGTTGCTATATATACAGTTGTCGAACCTTGAAGAGGTGTGGAATTGGAGTGTGAATTACTAATTGTAAATTTATTGCAGTATAGAAATTTGGACGGAACATTGATACCACTTGTGCATGCTTCTATGTTATCATTACAATGTTTAATGGTACAAAAACAGGTCGTGGAATAGGATTGACTGAAAAGGCCTTTTGTAGTATTACGAAACTTACAGAGCTTCGGCTTATATAAATGTTGGTACCATTCGCATATCCTAAACTAGCTACAATCGCACCATGTAGATGTGATTCATATGTAGCTACTGTCATAGCTATGTGCTGTCGAGTACCTTCCATGGAATCATAGGAAACAGCGCAGAGCGCAACGTTTTGACGTACAAATGTACAGGATGCTTATACATTAGGTCCTGTGATAGCAAGCAACCTGTACTGACAAGCTTTATAAAAAAGATTTCCAATGAAAAGTCGAAGAGTATGTTTTACAAGGGAATCGTAATACGTTATTCCATTTTAGAAAATTGGCACAAATGACAAAGAGTGGAGGCCGAGACGTGGCTAGTGTTTGATTGGCTGACGCTTGACACACTGAGTAAGAGGTTGTACAATTATTGATTGAACAAATGCATGAAACCCATGTTCCGATCTGTTCAGAAACATTCAGAGTACACTGTCCGTAACCAACGTTCGTCATTCTTGATAAGTTACAATGATTAACAGCGTTATTCCAGAACAGATTCAATAAGCGACTGATACCAATGCAATACCTATAAGTTCGAGCTGAATCCTGAGGCAGTGTTAATGACTGCAATGAGACAATAATCATATCCTTGAGCATTTTTATGACAGTACGGATCTTGTATGACCTAAAAGATACTATCTACTTGATTTGAGCAGCTTCAGTTGCGATGAGGAGAGTTGTGAAGCATGGATATTGATACAGTTAAGTATGATCCATATGAAGATAGATGGACTTTTAGAATAAATAGTTTGAAAGCGAGAATAGATATATTGTAATGACGTTCTCTCCAAAGCTGACTTTAATGCATACCTTTTTCTTTAGGAGAGAAAACCAAAATAAGACAAATATTTCACTTTCCTTTCTCATTGCCAGTCGGGAATATGTAGAATTTTTCTCCCGTCAGTATTTGTCTTCTATATTTTGAAAGTACCACCGTTTTACCGTAGTATAACACGACAGTGATGAATGACTTGCATATTTTTCTGCGACATCGCACAGATTTTCAAAACATAACGAGAAGAAAGATCATGAAAGGAAAACTTTTGAAAGTCGCCATTTAAAATAAGATTCTAAATATGAGTTTGTACGAAGAGAGTAGGAACATTGTCGTATATTTCAATGGATCTAACGATCGTTAACATTTGGGCGTTGAAGAAGAAGTGTTGTTATTTGTGATTCCTTTTGCGTATGTGATATCGTATATAAGTGTGAAACATTAGTGAATATGTAAATTTAACGCTTGCATGTACCACTTGTAACCCCGAAAAAAGAACGCAAGGTAAATCAGTAAATGATGATTGAGTATTGATCATTTCTGTCCAGGAACAGAATACAAAAAATTGATTGATCAGAGAGAAAAAAACATTTATGCCAACGCCCATTTGTCACGCATATGAATACTATAAAACATGTTAGTTTCGAAGAAGAAAAAAAAACACTGTATTTTATCTCTAACTTGATACACTCTCTTGTGTGTGAGCACTCAAATGAAATATACTGAACACAGTATTGATCTTGATCATGAAGGTAAGGATGAAACATCGGCATTGTTTCCCTATCCATTTACCTTTCGTACCCGGGAACAATTACAAGAATATTTTGTTAAAGAACTAACCAAGAACCGAGTAGTATATGTTATCAAGATCGTGCTAGGATCACTTACACTGGTCTTGCCGTTATTAAATGTGTTTATGGTCTATCGAAGTGTAGTTTATCAACGAGAAGATTTTGGTGATACTTATTCAGCGTTTCATTCCATTATATTCTATGGTGAATTTGCTTTGGTGCATGTTACAGTATTTTTTGTTTTGATTGATTTCCTCTATCATAAACTCAAAAGTCGTCAATCATTATTTTCGAATAAAGGTGAATGGGTGAACCTTCTCGATGTCGAGTTTACTTTCATGGCGTTCAATTTAANTACGCGACAATCTGGGTATTGACATGACATAAACTAAAACTCTTTTTCAGTTTTACTTCGTCGTTTGTTATATTTATTCGAATTTAGGAATCTAGATTAACATGATTGTATTTTTCGATATTTTCCTCAGAAAACGCGATGTAGCAAAATCAAATATGAAGTTTATGAGAGAATATGCACATTTCGAATATGATCGGATAGATGTCGCAATTCCATTGTATGGCGATTTATTTTCTGAGTCATGTTCGTCCTTTTTAAGGTGAATCTTATCGTACACACATATTGCACGTGATAAAAAATGCCACAATATACCCTTTCGCCTATTTTGAAATCTGTTTGTCTTCAATTCAATTGCTCTACAGCATGAGTACTCAACCGTCGTTCAGCATCGCGCCAGTTCGTACTACTGATGATCTCGAAGCTACAATCAGTCTCTTCCATACTTATGTCAAATCACTTGGAGTGGATCTTACATTCCAAGATTTCGAAAACGAGATGGCCACCATGCCTGGAAAATACGTGCCCCCAGCTGGTGAACTTCTTCTTGCTCGCAGTTCTCAAGGAGAACCGATAGGATGTGTAGCTCTACGTGCACTCGGGTCAGTTGGTTCTGAATGTTGTGAGATGAAACGTCTGTACACATTGCCTGGCGTTCGAGGTTTGGGTGTCGGCAAAGCGTTGGTAATTGCTATTTTGAATGTAGCCCGGTGTTTGCAGTATAACGAGATCAAACTAGATACTTTACCGAGCATGAAATCGGCCATTGGATTGTACAAGAAGGTAGGATTTGTGGAAACAGAAGCATATTACAACACTCCACTCGAAGGAACAATCTTTCTCACTCTCTCCCTTCGCTAATTAATGCTTGCACTGACTGATGTTACCTATTCTCCCATTTGAACTTCAACATCGGATAGTGTTTTTTAGTGATCAATAAGAAGAAAAATGAGTAATATATTTATTATTTCGTTTTTCCTACGCATTTGCAACGATTCGAATAAATCACCTACATTTTTGTGTGAATGCGTGATTCATCTATATATTGATTCATACTTTGATGTTTGACAACTGGACAAGTAAACATACGATGTGCATCAGTGATCCCAAGTAGACACTGGAGGGGATAAAAGGCACTACATTTGCCTTCAACTATTTTCTTCATTCATTACGATCAAACTATGGACCATTACGAAGAACCCAAAGAAGAAGAAGATCTACTCCATCAAGTTCGTATCAATCGTGAGAACAATGGTGATTTAACAGTGACTCATCAGAGTGGGATACGATATCCTATTTCAAGACGATACGGCTGGTCATCACACAATTGTAATTGTCCAGGGCGAAAAACAGGTCTAGTTTTGTATTCATTTGATACAAAGTACAAGAATACTGTGTTACTTGTTTGTGAAAATTGTTATGGCTATCGACTGAATGGTGGCACACAACATAATCAGTTGTTGCAATGGTACTACAACATCTATGGCAAATCGAAACAATTTCGTTGTGTCTCTGGATTTTCTCAGCGGGCGGATGGGACATTGGGCTTCAATAGTTATTCACAAAACACCACAGGTTACTACACAGACAATATCAATACAATGGGTGATATAGAACAGAGGATTGTACGAAAAGTGGTTGAAGAACGGCTTGATTCGTATGAAGGGTAACTTTAAAGGGTGATAAAGACATTTTCGAATTTCTCTTTTGTTGAACTAACGAATTAACATTGATCTTAATAAAAAAAAAAAAAAAACTTTAGCATCAACATCCCGTCATCAGAGATGCATCATTGTAACAACGGAAAAGAGTTAAATTGAGCATAAATTCGTCGAATAGTTAAAATGATTAGACATGGTAAAATTGTAACCAACGAAACAGATAACACAATAATAATCGCATGAAGAAGAAGTATAGTCAACGGACATTAATTCTTGACAAATGATTTCTGTCGAAACTAGAATGAATCATTTGCTTTATTCAGTAAAAACAGGGAATTTTTGTTTCTGTCTTTGATATCGCAGGTACTTTACCAGTTATTGCATGATGGTGTTTGTTTGTTACAACATATATATTTTACAATTTGTTTTTTCCTTCCTTCGCGTCGTGACGTTTGGCTATTACCCTCGTTATCACATTCTTCGTCAGCATCTGGTATATATATATATATATATATATTTCATCTATCGTATAACATCGATTCAGTTGAAAATTCTTCTCGTTTATTTAACATGGCGACTAACGACGACAAAAAAGAAACTTACGATCAAGCATACACACGACAGGAGAGATATTTTGCGGAACATTACGGCTGCTCGACTTCACCTTCTTTTTACTTCATTTATTTCAACGATGGAGGCGCGCATTGGTCGGAAATGCCGTGGGGGTGGTATCTAAGCTATCTGAATTTAGAAAAAGGTGATCCAGAACAATGTGGTAAATTTCTTATGGGCGGTATTGCTATCTGTATGAAGTGTTATAAGGAAAAAGCAGATGAAATCATCAAAAAATGTCGCGAATTCAATGCGGAAATGAGGGAAAATCATCACGAAAAACTTGAAGAGATTAGACAAGAGGGATTAAAAATTGGAATTATTACATATAGATAATATCCGTACGCAGTTATGTTTTTCTTTTCTATATAGTCTCGACTCGTAGCATCACATTCAGTTTTTCTGAAATACATGGTTATCGGTTTTTTTTTCAACGATTTCTATGTATTATGAACAAATAAAAACACTAACATCGACTAAATATGTGGGCTTCCGTTTGAGTGAAAAATAATGAACTTGAACGATACAATTCTCAAACGACTGATGGGACTGACCTAAGCTGACCATAGTTTACGAAAATGTCCAAATATTTTTAAAATGCTTGCAATATTGAAAAACATCGATTTCTTCGGTGAGCCTTAATGTTTCAAAGACATTTCAGATCTCTGCTATAATTCTTGTGCTAATTGCGTTCCGACAGATTTGTTATGATGTACTATTTGCCTTGCACAGGAAAGAAAATTGAGGAGAGCAATATATAAAAACAGCAACAACAATTCACTTAACATTGTTGAAACCGTAGGTTGATAAGAGTAATGATTGTCTTAGTGAAAAAATGTTTTACATACTTGTGATAGAAAAGGAGGTAAAACACGACAGAAAAAAGAAGGTTCATCAATGTTTTGTCTCAGTTTAGCACTATAAAAGTGTCTCCATTTATTAATTTGACAGTATATACAGTAATCACGATGTTGCGTTCAACTCTTGCAATCATGGTATTGATGGTTGCTAAAATTCACTCAACAACAAACATTGGTCGTATGAATAATATAGCATATATCTCTAACATTGCCACCACAAGTATTACGTATAATCAAACGTGTTCTGAATGTATTTGTAAAGCATTTTTTTCTACCACACAATCATTGTATGTGGCATTGAACTGCTATACAAGTAACAGGACATGTCGATTAATTGCAAATTATTCATCGACATGGACAATGCAAGCAGATGTCAATTCAACATTTATTTTTATTCAACCACCACCATTACAAAGCACTAGCACAAGTAAATGAGCAACTTCTACTAATTTGTATTCAATTTTATCTTATAGCCACTTCGACTACAAGCTCCACGTCGACTTCCACAACAACAAAAAACAGTAAGTAATCACGCACTAATCAACACTAAGTAGTGGTACTTATCTATAGCACAATACAACATAACATATTCACCACAAGTGCTTTACACAACTAGTTCAGGCCCATGGAGTCTTGCAGTAAATGATGTCAACAATGATTCTCGTCCAGACATTATCGTTGCCAATATTGATAGTAACAAAATTCGTATCTTTTTCAATGCAGGTAATGGTACATTTCCCACGAAAGCAGTTTATACGACAGGCACGAGTCCTTGGAGCGTAGTTGTGGTTGACATCAACGCTGATACAAAGCCGGACATAATTTACTCGAATACGGGTGGCAACAGTATTGGTTTTCTCCTCAGCAAAGGTAACGGAACCTTTTCTGCAGAAACAACTTATGCAACTGGTTCGAATCCGCGTGGAGTGCAAGTCATAGACGTTAACAGTGATAAAAAACCAGACATCATTGTGACGAACTTTTACGACAATAATGTTGGAATTTTTCTTAACAAAGGTAACGGCACATTTGCCACACAAAAAACCTATCCTACAGGAAACTATCCGTACGGATTGGCCGTATTTGATCTTAATGCTGACAACCAGCCAGATATTGTTACCACGTATTACTATAACTACAGTATAGGTGTATTGATCAATCAAAACAACGGAACATTTCCCACGCAAACAGTATACCGTACAGGTACCAACCCTCGCGACGTAAAGGTTGCTGATATTAATCTTGACGGTCGACCGGATATCATTGTCGCAAACAATGGTACTAATACGGTTAGTGTTCTGCTCAACATCGGTAATGGTTCATTTGATGTACAAAAAACCTTTGCAACTGGTACTTACCCATTTAGTGTCGAGGTCTTCGATATGAACGGTGATGATAGACTCGATATTATAATTCCAAATAGCGGTGATGACACTGTAGGGATTCTTCGAAACCTAGGTAATGCAACATTCGCTGTACAAACCATTTTTGCGACAGGCGGTAATCCACATGTGGCAAAAGTTGCCGATGTTGATATGGACAACAAACCGGACATAATTGTGACGAACTATGATGATGATACTATCAGTGTACTTTTATCGTAATGAAATTACAGACAATAAAATAGAAGAGTTCCTGTCAATGTTTATAGCCATTTTTATACATAGCTGAAACTGTATCCATTAACCGATTCTTTTCCAATGTTGGTTTTGCAAAATCAAAGAATAAAGCAACGATAGATTATTTCTGCTGACTGTTAAAGAATAAAACATGTATTCTTTCATAAGCTCTACTTCTAAATCAATCGAATTCGATAATCGGCGAAAAAGGCCCAAACAAAAGCGCATAAAGAAAGAATGAAAATCGCTGCATAAGAGCATAGTTTATGCCAGGACGAAACGTGTTCCAACTGGATTGAGGATACACTTAATCGACTATCGCGCCTATCATACGAATGATTGTCGGAACAGATTGATTGTCCGTCGAGATTATCAGTTTTTTCCAAGCCACAAATCCAAGCGAAAGCAGTTTTGAAATAAAAAGCAAAACCGGTCGAACCGTCTAAAAGTAAAGAATAACAAAGATAGTTTTCGTTTCAAAGAATATCCATACGTGTATCGAAAAAGTGCAGAGCCTTTTTCTCCGTCTCAGTTGGGAGCTTTTCGCAATGATTCGAAGATTGTTCGATAACATCGTCGGTATTCGCCTTGTGCATGCAACCAGACTTAGTCGGAATTTCCACTGGTCTTTCGGGATTATCGAGATCGAAAGCAGTCAAACCAGCTATCTAAATACACCAGAGGAAGTTAACGCATTTTATCGTGCAAATGAATAGTTATTTTACATATTTTTCTGCTAGAGGTTTCGTCAGAAGACTGACAACAATGGTGACAATTGCAGAAATGACAAAAAGAAGAACTGAAAAGTATAGAAAATTAAATCGAACTAACGACGGACGTTGATCTAAATGTTCGAGTTGACAGGGCATTGCAGTGTAAGAATATTCCCAAATGAATCGAATGATTCCAATTACTAAACCAGATATCAAGCCCCAAAATGCTCCCTACAAACTAAGATTATTAAAGAAATAAACAGTAAGTGATTACTTCTTCGTTGATACGTTTCCATAGCACTCCGAGCAAATAGCAGGCAGCTACTGGCGGTGCTAAGAATGATTGAACAGCTTGGATATAGTCGAATAATCTTGCACCTTGAGCTGCTCTAATGATTGGAATCCAAAGAATTGATATACCAACAAGAATCATGACAAAAACTCTGAAAAATAGCGTTATTTCTATTCTCGAAGAACGATGCGATTCTCTACCTGCCAACAATCATCAATTCCCAATCGTGTGCATTTTGTCGGAAACGCTGCCAGATATCAATCGTGAAAATAGTCGAACTTGAATTAAAAATTGAAGTCAGAGACGACATCAAAGCTGCAATCATACAAGCTAATGTTAAACCACGAATCGCTGTAAGAGAAAAAGAAATAGACAAATATATGTTTCTATTGGAAGAGTTACCATTAGGCATCAATCGAAGTACAAGCAGTGGGTATGCAATATCGTTACAACCATTCCGGCTATTACAAACTTGATAGCACACATCGGGATCGGCACAACCAATTTCATCTAGATTTGTAATCATTGATATAAATATTTATGAGATAGAATGAATGTTTCTAATTACCTGGAAAGAGGATTCTAGCTATCATTCCTATAAAAACAATAACAATCAAGTAAAATCTTGCTTAAGAAATTGAACACGCACCAGGAAATACCATCAAAAATAGCGGTAGAAATTTCAGTAATCCTGCCACAAGACACCCTGCTCTGGCATGTGAAAGATTTTTTGCTGCTAACGTCCGCTGTACAATGACCTAAATGCACATTTATAGACTCATTTACTATGACCTTGTTAATTTACTTGATCACAACTCCAATACCAAATCGAAGCGACACCATTGCCAAAAAGTATACCAAACCAAGGTAGATCAGCATCAAATGGACGAATCAACGAGATATAATCTTCCTTAGGCACTCCACATTCGGTCGTATTATGTAATGTCGTTTGTGCGACGGCATATGGAAACAAACTTCGAATTTCTTGCATTCCACCAATCCTGATAAAACCTAGTTTTAAACAATGATTTCACTTTTCTGTGAATTTCATTCTTGCAAACAGCAACGTACTGATAATCATGAGAATAAAAGCCGATATGACCATAATTACTGTCTGGATAAAATCCGTCCATATAACTGCTGTTAAACCACCTGAATAGAAACATTGTTGAGTCACCATCAGAAAAGACACGCTTTCCTACTTGCCTCCAACAGTGAAAAATGCTGCAAGAAGAATCAGAGCAATGACCGAAGCGTACAAGTTCCAGTTTAGAGCTTGTTGCAGAAAAATTGCACCAGAATAAAGATCAACCGATATTTTTGTGAAAATCGATAGCATTAATGCCAGACATGTCAAATAAACACGGATACGTTCACCACCATAGCGCATTTTTATATACTGTGGCATCGTAAATACTTCTGCTTTCATATATATTGGAACAAACAACCAGCCGAGTACCATAAGCCAAAAAACCGCCTATGAATCGAGAAGATGTCCTTTCAACGAAACGAACTCTAGCTCGCTTACAGTTATTTCAAAACCTGCAACAGCAATGCCACTCGATGCTCCTGATCCAGTCAGACCAATGAAATGACCGCTGCCAATGTTCGACGCGAACAGTGATGCACCTACCTAGAGGAAGTACTGAGAGTGAGAAAACATGTTTCGAATAGATTTCACCGGTATAAAATGCATCGAACGACCAGCGAGAAAATAACCACCTAAGTTTTTAAAAAAAATACTACAGTTATTTACAAAACAGCATCGAAATTCGTCTTACCAACACTTCCACGATTTTTGCATGAGCTCTAGAACGAATCAACTAGTTAGACAAACTATCCTTTCAATCTCCCATACCCAAACTCCAAACCCAAGAATAAGTAAGAAGTAGAGTAATAAAACCAAAATATCCGACCAATGAAGTGCAGTTCCAACAATAGCGGCCATACTCTCTGCTTGATGTTTATACTATGTGTACCTTCGATGATTTGTCCTTATTATTCACATTATATAAAGATCAAACATAATGACATTTGCTTTACCTTGAATTCGTTCGAACATGGTGTTTGTCGTTTAAAAGTTATGGCATAGAACTCGAAAGAACAAATGTAAAGACCAACATTTTTCTTTGATATATGTGATAAATGTTATTTTTTAATGGAATTCATGGACAACCAATTTCTATTTAATACTATTCGAAACAAAATTCATTTCTGCGAACTGACTTCGCAGCGGACAGTCATCTGCTCTACTGATAGAGCTTCATTATTATTAATACTCACTCCACCATGCGCAATGAGCAGTGCGTAGAATTGTCTCTATTCAATCCTTATCACGTCATCGTACTGTTCTGGATATATGCGTTTATTCCGTTGCCAAAGCAGACAAGCATAAATAGACGTTGACTTTTCTATCTATTGATCATTGTTTGAGCAAAGAAGAAAATATCGGATTAATTGTAGGATACTCTACGCGCGAATGTCACAGAAGATGTACGATCATTTGTACTGTCTAGTATAGTGATGAATGGAAATTTCTATGTGCTACAGTGATCGTACCAGATATTCTTCAATAAGAAGGCCACTAACTTCGGGAATTGTAGCATTGCTCGTCATATCAAGAACACGAATGTTATCTGGTAAATGATCCTAGAAATCTTATCTGTGAACAGACTCAAAATTCCATCTAACTCTCTGTAATAGTAGAATTAATTATTGTTTCGCATTCGTATTTCTTTTTTTTAATCACGAAACAAAGAACGAATTACTATGCATCATTGTCAATAACAAGAGAATCCAAAAAAAGCACAGAAAACTTTCTTTAACAACATTGAGAGGTCAAAAATGTTCATCCCTTCTGCCATTGGTAAAGAAACAGATTATTCGATTGGTACTATTTTTCTCTTTTTCATATAAATTTTATCAAGATTTTCTTAGTATGACCAAAAACAGATCATCTTCGATGCGCTCAAGAACATCATTATTTTCATGATCAGAAGAATAAATGCCGATTTCGGTGTAGCATGAATGGCCGCATAGAAAGTTGATGGTAAATGGATACTTCTTGAGCTTTCTGCCATAGTTTTTCAACCAAAACGATCGTCGTACAGATGGAAATGATGTCAAACAACACAACTTCATGTTTGATAATGTTGACAGCGCTAGTAGGATTTGAAATAAGCTGGTCGTATCGAGAACATCGCATGTAAATTCTTCTATATTTGTGAACATCTTACAAATTATCTTTAACTCATGATATTTAATCAACTGTGTACCATGTATCCCAACAATGTTCAATTTTCTAATGATTTTCTTAAGTAATTCCCGTAATTCCTCGTTGGCAAACAATACAGCCAGTAAATTCCTATGGATTTTAATCGAGACTAATTGCGATGTTCCTGTTGCTAATCGTGATAAGATATTCCGTGCTTTGTATTCATTCAATGACGAAACATCGACATGAGCTGTTCGTGTCGGATATTGCACATGTTTTCCTAAATATTCATCACTGTGTTCATCGAAAAGACTTTCGAACTTGATCGACTGCACATTCGGAAATTGATGTTCGTCGAAGTTAACCACTTGTTCTAAATACAATGTTAAATCAGTCACTTTTCCATATCGATTCGCAGCTTTCCGACAAGTTGATTGTAATGTATATCTTGTAAATGCGTACGGCATGGAATAAATCGATGCTTGATTGCCATATGATTCGCAGACGATACGCCAATTATGCTGATGACGCCAAAAATCGCTTTGGAATTGTTCGAATGTGCCATCAACTGTGAGATTGTCATCATCGGTATAGGTAACAAGAAATCGGAAGTTGAATCTGCGCAAACACGGAAGTGAAGAGGTGATCAATTGCTGCCAGCGATCAGCATCGATTATTTCGAAATTGTCGATCGTTGAAATTGTTAAACTCTGTAGGTTTTTACTTTGGTTCAATAAGGCTTCTAACTCGTCAAATTCACCTTCGAAAATATTTATTCGGATTTGTTTTAAATGCATAACTGATCCGTCGATGACAAATGGTTTGATTGTTGCATCGTCTTCGTCATCATCGTCCTCTCTGAAAACGACGTTAACTTCCAGATTTTCTAATTTTGGTACATGAGTGAAGAAACGAGATAAATCTTTCAAAGAACAATATGATATAATTAGATTGATAATTGAAGGAAATTGAAGAATAAAAGCTAGATTTGATGGGATCGTTGATATTGATAACGTGTGAATTGTGTCGATCGATAATGAGATGAATATTGTATTGTATTCTTCCGACCAGTTGGTGAAGTAATAAAAAGGCGAGTGAGAGAACTTGGTTAAACGTAAAACTTCTTTACCATCGTTATCTTGCTCGATTTTACTCAGATGTAGTGTCTGAAGATTAGAGAGTTGCTCGAGAGGAAGCACCGATAGAAAGGTTCGTATTTGATACCAGACGTTTCTATTCGACAAGTCCAATGAAACAATATGAGTTTGAATTGTCGAATCCAGAAGGAGAATTTCGTAGAATTTTTCGAATATTTCCGCATTAAAATATTGAAAACTGAGATGCAATGGAATATTGCGAATCAATTGGTTCAAACGAGAGTTTAGATTATTAAAACAATGGAATATATCCGGCGCATTGAGATACGCGAAGCATTGTATAAGTATTTCGTTCGGTAAGAAGTCAAATTTCATCATAACGTGCGCTTTACCCGTGATGAAAGAGAATAAAATGTTTGTCATTAACGCAGACGTATTTTTCTTTCTTTCTTCGTGTCAGATTGACGATAGTTGTTCTCTTCCTTTTTCAATGACTCATTCAGCGAGAAAGATGCACCTCAATTCTCTATTTAGCCTTCAAATCAACGCAAAAGCATAGAGAAATATAGCAACAAATGATAACAGTAAAAGAAAAAGAATTTTGAAAGAAGTACGTCGAGAAATGCTTTTCCGCTTGAAAAATATCAATGCTATATAGAAAGCACATAATATTATAAATAATTTCGTACTGTTCGTAATACGATGATGCATGTCAGGACCACTTTCGTCATAGTGTTCATTTTTCATGCGGATTGTCGCTTGAACAGGAGAGGATGTCGATGAAGTGGTAGTGGTGGTTGAAGGTGAAGTGACTGTTGATAATGTAGTGGTCTGATTTCCTGAAATGAGATAATTAAAAATCAAGAAGCAATGAGCGAAGTGAAATTTACGCAGTTTTTCTTCTTCAAAGATTTCTCGGCGCATTTCGACTGTCAATTTCTTGATTAATTCAACTATTTTATTTCGCAGCTCGGTAACGGTCGTTCCATTGGTTGTAAACTTATAGATAGCGCGTTTTGTTTCGTTTATCTCTTGTTCTAAATGTATGTGAAGTTCACTTTTTCTTGTCACTAACGCCGGCACTGGAGCTGAAAGAAATAAACAACAATAATAAATTCACTCGATGATTAATTTGACATACGTTCAGGTAATTTATAAGCGTGATCAGCAAGTTTCATTATGAAGGATACGATTTCCTGAGATACGTTTTGTTTTTGACATTCTTGAGCAAGATCAGAAAAACGTTGGCGCCACGAACGACGAGTATCGGTCGAGAAATTCCCTTTGATTGATTCGAAGTGCACGAATGTCTCGTTGAAATACTGATCGAGATTTGTTGTCTTTCGATTTCCGTTGCACAACATCTGTAGATGAGTCAAATCAAAAGTATAATTATATGTCAAACTTTCATTAGCTAAACTAAAGAAACACAAAACAAAATCGAAGTTGATTTATCGACAATCGGATTGTTGTACGAACCTTCTTCGCCACGTTTTTCCCAAAGGATAATCTTTAATCGGATGCCACATGTTATTCGGTTGTTGACGTACATCTCTGTAAAAGTACGGTGTTGCATATTCGATAGTATTCAGTTCAGTTGGAACGACAATTGTAAAATTTAATTGCACTGCTAATGTATTGAAGAAAAATTCATGAAATGGTATTTCACCAAACCATTGAATGTAATTATCGATAGCTAAAAGCATTCGCTGACTAAATCCAATACCATTGACCATCGAACATGCCCAAGGTGGAAGGAACTTGCCCGATGCCATTGCCCATCGCCATAAGCCGTCCGCTGCGATCAAATTGAGTGTATGATGAGGAACGACCAAATCAGTCGTTTTCGAATATAATTCATGAAGTGAGCGAAATACTTGGACGTTTGGAATGAAAACATCTTCTTCTAATAACCAAACAAATGAATAGTTTCGATTGAGTAAACAGAAATAGAGAAGAGATTTGTCCCATGATGTAATATATCGCCAGGTACCTAGAAAATATCACATGGGAAGTCCGGATTAAATATTGATACGGTTAATTGAATCTACACAACAAGAAAGTCACGTTTGCTTCTATCTCATTATGACAGCAAATTTAGCATTTGTGATACGTCATACCTCCAGTGTTAATGGCTTTATGGTAATTATGTTGAAGACATTTCTCTCGTGAAATTTGCAGTAGTCGAATATTTGAAGAGACGTTTATGGTAGAAATATTAACGTCATTATTGTCAACCATAATGAATAAATCCACACCGTATTGCTTGGCATCTTCAGCTAACTCTTCTACAAATTCGATTAATTCGAGTGCTGGTCGATAGGATAAATAACAAACTGCTGAGTTTTGTATTGCTACATTGATAAATTGAGATAGAAGAAGGAGTTTAAATAAGAGTACAGAAATTGTTATTCTCAAATGAATCATACAGATCTAAGAACACAGAAAAGACTTCAAGTAGCATCCCAAAACGAGCCGAATAATGCGCAAACTATGGTTCTTCCCATTCAAAAAAGCACGTTTTGGCCGCAGGGAAGAAAAAAAAAACTACTAACGAAAGTGCAAAAGAATCATTCATCTGTTTCTTTTTTCACCGTTTGTTGCAACGTTTCTACGACACAAGTCATCACTACGATGGCAGTGTTTATTCTCCTGTTTGAGCAACAGAACAGAGAACGTGGAAGGATTCCAGCCGTTACATTTATTACTTGTCCGCTGCATCGCACGTCGACTATTCAACACATGAACAAAAATGTCGAGTGTTAATATCATCCTCTAAGTAGCATCATGCATTTCATTCCATACACACGTACTTTTGCGTTCTTTACATTTTCTTTCATTTCTTTATATACGTCGCATATGTTTTCTGTTCTCTCTGTTCATCGTAATATTTAAGTCCTGATGTTTTGTGATAATTATCACTCGTGCTCGCTCGTTCATTCATTCATCGGTCACCTCCATCTTTTCTTTTGAGCGACTTGCGCACAGTTGAAAAAGCGAATATGAGCCTTAATTGTTTCCTTTGCACCAACTATCGTTCGTGTATAAAGTACTTGCATTCAATTGTGATCGAACAAAATTAATACTGCGTGGACTGATTTTTCAACTTAGACGAAAATCAATATGTACGGTTGAATTTCGAATTCCTATTTGCCAAAAGAAAAGGAATCAGAATTCATTATAATTTTACCTTATTGATGGAGAAAGAGAACGAGTATTTCTATTCTTTATTTATTCCATCTACGGACAGGAGGGTAGTGCGTTGAGCTGACATCACGAAAAAAGAAACGAGTTAATGTTCGTTCGTTTTGTCTTAAAATGCTACTTAATATTTGGGTAAAAAAGTCGATGACTTGCCCATGTATGGTACGAACAATGAGGTGTTACTTTCAGAAGGTTTTAAGAAGCAAAACGAGTGCGAATAAAAGATTGGGACAACTTATCAAATGATTGTATCATTACGATGAAATAATTTTAATTCTACTAATTTCAGGAATATGAGAGATCTGATGATGTTCTTTTAATAGAGGGTTCAGCGACTACTGTGCCGCCTTACTTGTTCATACTAAAGTGCAAAACGTGGAATTAACGTTAATAATAGTCGTTCTTCCTTTTTCTTCTTCTTCTCCGTTCATGTGAACTACTAGACATACTTCTTCATTTATTTACTGTTTTAGCGAATTTCTTAGCAATGAAACAATCCTGAAAAAGTTAACTTCGCCATTTATTTGTCTTCGTTTTAAAGAAATCAGCGAGTTTTATATTGCCAAATTCACGTGTCATAAGAATTACGTCGCCGTCTTGAATTTTAAGCTGAAGATCGAAGGTGTTAGGGCCGTAGAGATGTTGACCACGGAACATAAGACATAGAGAGAAACGTGACATACTTATTCTCTTTTCAATTGCAAATTTAAAGCTCTCCGTAGTATCTGACGGTTGAACTTCAAATGGTACTTTAACATGCTCTAAGATTAATATAAATACTTTCATTGGTTAAACAACGAAACGATGCTATCGGTGCAAACTGAATGATGTGATCAACATATAAAACAACTGCTTTTTATCAAACAAATTCAAGTTCGAAATTTTTTGTTGACGTTTGCGTCTCGTTTTTCGTCGCATCTTACGTACTTCGAAGAAGTATTAAAAGAGTCCGTTAAGACACAAACAGAGAGTTGTCTATACAAGGTGTAGCAAGGATATGACACGACAGTTTCACACAGCATTAATGAAACTCTTTTCCTTTGCGATGTTAGAAACAGGGCACAAAATTATTAAAAAAAGAGAACATTATCCGTGCATTTCATCAGATGACTAAATCACTCTATCTTCTATAATTCAGCCGAAGTTTTGTTTGGAAGAGACGCAGAGATATAGTGTAATTAGTTGTCTTTCTGACGTACACAATCCATATGGATAGAACACAGGTTAATTCTATCATTCGTTCGAAGTATGAAGAACGTCTCGACAAAGCCATCAACTACTACGCATCGAAAATGGTCTTCGCCCAAATAATCTTTGCAAGCGCTTTCTCGGCTTCTGAACTTTACTATGGTGTTGAATATCAGGACCAGTGTCCAATCGAACCTATGATGACCACATTTCTTATTCTTCATGGTGCTATCAAATTCGTCTGGGTGTTCCTGACTATTCTCGCTATCGTCGATGCGCGATTGATCGCTCAAGTGATGAACAAGAATGTCCTGGCTCGTCGGCTTATGTTTATAAATCTCACCCTTCAGCCTGTTTTTGCTGCCTGGTTTTTTATCTGGTTTATTACTGGAAACTTTTGGGTATTTCGCACCAAAGATCGGTATCAATCAACCAATCCAACAGATACCAGTACATATTGTAACGAAGAAGTGTATCAGGCAGCATTCTTGTTGATTATTATGACCTACGTTATCGGTGGTATCACTTTTATAGGAACAATCAGGCGTCGTGTCATTAGCAAGAAGATTAAACACGTCATGAAAAATAAAACCAATCCCGAACATCAGTCGAGGGTACAAATTTGAACGGATATTAGAAAAAAACTGACTAAAACTAATGTATTCTTTTCCTTTCTTAAAAACGCCTGCTTCTTGACCTGACAAATTGCTATTTCTGTCATAATGATGTATTTCACAATCTATCTTTGTTTCTCGTCATTAGATTAAACAGACGTCATATACAGAAGAAGAGATTCGAAGATTTACCGAACGAATCGTGTTTTCATCACATATTTGTTTTATTTGATGTTCATATTTCGTATATCACGCCTTCTATGATATCAAGCAACGTTATAAACAATTGATTCTCTCACTGTGTTAAAGAGGAACGTTCTTTTCATTTCGACATGTATCAGACGCACATATTGGTTTATTATGGCAAGATGATCAGAAATCTCCAATCAGTTTCACTCCCTTTCTTTCCTTTCTCTCGATAAGACGTATATAAACTTTCTTTGAAAAAAAAAGAAAAGGTCAAGCTGACCATAAACAAGGGCAGTTTCATATAATTAAAATATTCAATTAAAAATGGCTTCGGATTATTATTACTATGCAAAAGAATCATCTTATGAAAAAGATA